ATGCCTTTTTAAAAGCATTGTTGAACAAGAGCTCTTTTTTGTATTTAAAATTAATATAATTACAATGTTTTCCCCCTTTCCTTCCTCCAAACCCTCCTGTAAACCTGTTCCCACTCTCCTGGAAATCCATGGCAGGATTCTACATGAAATGGTTTTGTGATTCTGTTTTCATGTGTTATTTTAGAGAGGAATCTGTTTGTAACCTGGGAAGCTTTTCATCAATGAGTTGTGGCCAAAAATCTTTACAAATTTGCATGTTTAGAATATCAGACTGCTGATCTTTGCATTATAATAATTGGATATAAATGGAATATCTGAGGAGGTAAGCCAGTATACTTTCCACTTGCACCCTTTCATTAAATGGAACTGCTAGGCCTTCTGAGAAGTGTGATGATATTGGGTGGTGATCAGTGACTGTTTTATTGTCACTGAACCATTTAACTACAGGTATGGGCTGTCTTCAAGCCTGCAGAGAAATAAACACATAGGAAATTTTATTGAAAACTAACTCATCTTTGAGACACTTTGCAACTCTAAAGGTTATTAAAAGTACGTGCTTTTGTCTGTTAGAAATTTAGATATGATTTGTATGTGCGACTCTATGCTCTGTAAATGTTTATATACCCAGCACTGTATGTCTGTATACAGAAAGCACCATGGACACCATGGGAATCACACTTCCTGCACTCTCTGCTTTTTTGATATAGATGCAGTGTATGAAGGGCTACTAAGGGCTAGAGCGGGAAGAGGGGTAAACACAAGACTTAGAAAGGATGAGTAAATGGTGCTAAATACACTAGCATGTTTTCATCAGACCCACTCAAGACATGGAAGGTAACAGCTGGGCTGAAATAAGTGCTTGCAATGGTCTGACAACTAAGCCTGCAAGACCAGTTCCAGAGAGAAGCAGAGTTTAAGGGTCCCCAGTCTGATGGCACACACCCTGCCTTTGTGCTGTATTTAAGGATGGGACTAACATTTCTAATCGGCTTAATGGATTACACCTAGAACTCCGTCATCATTATAAACAGATTATAATTAGATCCAAATCATTTAGATACTTTATAGAAAAGAGAAGGTTTGAGATAATCAGATTTAGACAAGATTTGGGATTTTTAAGTTGATGGTATAGTGAACTGGGACCCTTGGGGACCTCTTAGGTATTAACTGCCTTTTTCAACTAGGAGGAATGTGAGTCATGAGGGCTAGAAGGGGGGACTTGGGCAGTTTTGCCTCCCATGGCAGTTGTCACCTGGGGTCACACCTGTGGTTGTTGCCCAGTGTGACAGAAGAACTTTGCTCATGTAAGCAAAGCTAGGCAAAGCTGCCTTCACTGTCAGAAGACACTCTTAGATGATCTGCGTGGGCCCAGTATAATCGTGTGAACTCCTAAAAGCAGAAGTAGAGGACAGAAGGAGAAGTCAGAGAGATTCAGTGTACCAGGACTTGAAGTGATGGTGTTGACTGTGGCAGGGGTCAGAACCCAAGAGCACAGGCAGCGAATGAGCACTCCATTAGTGCGAAGGAGCGGCCTTCAGCAGCCACCAGGGAGCTCTGCAGCCTCCAGGGTGTGCATTCTACCAACAACCCAAACAACCAGAAAATGTTTCCCAGGACTCCTCACTGAGGGTGTCACAGTATGTCACCTTCCCAAACCCTCAGGAGGGGCTCCAGGGGAGCCCATTCCAGAATTCTGACCAGGAGAATTATAAGCAAATCGACAAATGGTGTTTGAATATTTCAAATTGGTCATGATTTCTTATGATAGGAACAGGAAACTGATGACGTCACATTGTAAACAGAATAATGGACTAGAAAGATAGTGAGTGGGTCTTGCTGTCTCACACCCACTTCCTGTGAAGAAGGAGAACAGATAACCCAGGAATTCAAACAGTGAATCCCAGATCCTTCCAGCAGAGGTGTTGATACTGTTAGCCTCTCATGTTTACCTCACATCACATAGCAGACATAACTTCCTGAAGAAACGAGCCCTTGAACTTTCTCATTGGCCCCTTCCCAAATCTTTATTCTCTCTTTCTTGATGCAGTGTGGAAGGTCGAGAGGGATGTCCACACTCTTGGTTCTTCTTAAAGGTCCATCAACTCTGTATGATGCGCATAAGCACACTCAGCCATCCAGTCCTTCCTTCTTATAGCAATGAACATGACTGAGCCCTGCTGTTTGCATTTGCAGGCCATCCTCTGCCTCCTTGGCTCCCTCTGTGGCCTGGCCTTGGTGGGAGGTGACCCAGTTCCAGCAGTAGACTCAGCTTCCTCTACGCTCGCTCGAGCTGAGCTGTCTTTCTGAGTCTCATGTTTGCTTACATAGAAGCTGCAGAAGAGGGAAACGAGACTAGGAATGTGGCTTAGATGTAGAGTGCTTACCCAGCAGCCTTTGGAAGTACATTGTCCTGGGACTAGCAGGATTCCTCTTAAACCCTTAAGGTCAAGACGTATGAGCGACTCCCCATCTCTTCCTCTTAGGTCTTTCTAACAGCTCTCTGAATGTTAGGTGTCTCGATGGACCTGTTAAAGTTTATTACTTCCAGCTAAATTACATCTGCGGTGACCATTTTCATCTAAGGTGTGAGTTAAGTCACTAAAAATTCAGTTTATTTCTCCATTTTATCCCATTTTGGTGGTCTTATGGGAAATAGTCTACCTTTGGAGAAAATGAATCTTCTTTTTAGTTTTATTAAAAAATCGAGTTTCATAGAAAAACCACATAGAGTTGTGAATATTTCCAGACTACAAGTTATAAAGCACGTAGACGTTAGTGGCTGGTTGGTTTAGGATTCACTTAATAGCTGTGGGCATCAGTGTATTGAGAAAGTTCTACACTAGAACTGTGGCTGGCTGACATTTCCTTTTTTTTTTTTTTATAACTTGTTGGATAGGTAGACTGGAGTGTTTTGTTTTGTTTTAAAACTAGAACTCATGTACTCAGACACAATGCCAAAAAAAAAAGAAAATTCTCATTTTACTTCTAGTTTTATAAAACAAGAAAGCTGATGCAACCCAAAAAGAAAGTGGAAGCCAGGCAAGTTGATTCTAAACAAGTGAGTAGCCCAGAGACGGAGAAACGGCTCAGTGGTTAGGAGCACTGGAGTTCAGCGCTCACATCACGTGGTTCACTATCATCTATAATTCCAACTCCAGGGGATCTGACACCCTCTTCTGGCCTTTGCAGGTACACACACACACACACACACACACACACACACAGACACACAGACACACACACACAGACACACACACACTAAATAAATAAATGAATAAATAATAATAAATAATAAAAGTAAATAATAAAATAATAAAGTTTGAAACCTGGGGCCTATGCAGGGTCGCTTGGCTCGGCCTGGGAGGAGGGGACTGGACCTGCCTGGACTGAGTCTACCAGGTTGATCTCAGTCCGCGGGGAAGGCATTGCCCTGGAGGAGGTGGGAATGGGGGGGTGGGCTGGGGGAAAGGTGAGGGGGGCCGGAGGGGGGAGAACAAGGGAATCCGTGGCTGATATGTAGAACTGAATTGTATTGCAAAATAAAAAATAATAAAAAAAAGAGGTTAAGTGTAACAGGGCAAGAGAAAGAGCAATTAATACCATTTTATATTTTGTTTATTATTCCTCATAACATTTTGCTCTGCTTTGTGTGTAGGATCAGGGAATATTGTTGAATAGAAGAGTAGAACAGTATTTAGGAAAGCTTTGTGATTCTGAAACCACAAAGCTGAAGTTAGCTGTTGAGAACCAATCTACAAACACCCCCTTCTCTTTCTTAGTTACGTTTTCAATTCTTTCCCCAGTTTCTGTGTCACATGCAATTATTAGTTGACTCTAAGAATCCTGAAAATAATCCAATAAGCATTGTGTAGGACTTTTACTTGAGGTCCTATATGCTTTATTAGGACCAGTCTGGGTGAGTGAACTCTTATGTTCCCTCATTTTGACAGGGAATGTTGAATGCTGTTTTTAGACAGTGTTAGGACTGGGAGAGCTTGCTTTAGTCATCTGGCTGTCTAGGGAGAAATAACTGGGAGGACGACCGAGCCTAAGAAGAAACCACTGGTGGGTGGGTATAAAGCCAGAGAGCTAAGGTAGACCTGTAGATTGTGTAATGAGACTCTGGAATTGCATCAGAGAGAAACATTTGAGGAAATTATATTTCACGTAGACATTTCTTAGCCCCTGAATTCCTGTGAAAAATTCTCTGATATGGATTATTTCATCTTTTTGGCTCTTTGAGCTAAATAACAGAAGAGGCAAACTGAAAATTAAATCATTTTTCATACAGAACCTTTCTGTAATATAAATCTTTTCAGGAGCTTCCCCCGCCCCCTGCCCTTTCCTCCCTCTCTCTCCAACTCTCTGTCTCCCTCCCCACCTTCTTATCTCCCTCCCTACCTTTTAAACTCTCATTCACTTTCATTTCTTCCAAGGCTTATTATACATAAGGGAGTGGGTTTGGAGTATTCTCAAAATGTGAAAACAAATTTATATTAATGCTTCTTCAAATCCATCCTGTTTAACTGCATTTTGAAGCTTTACACATAGTTTACAGAAGCCACACTCTCATAGACGACAGTGAGAATAATCACATCCCCAGATCTCTTACTTTCTTTCTTGTCCATCCTTGTCCCAAATCCCTCTGATTCAAAACAAGTTAAAAAGAGAAGTCTCTAGTTTTAGTGTTTGTGAGTGCACCTTGGGGAGCTTGTCAAACCACCAGTCCTGGACCTCACACTCAGACATTTCAGTAGAGCCAGGGGTAGGTGGGACCTAAAGATCAGCATTACAAACACACTCCCAATTTGCACCAGTGCTACTGGTTTGAGCTGAACTTCCTATCGCCTGTGTCACTGGGGAACTGGAGCAACTGGCCTGGACCTGAGGGAATCGTCATAGCAGAGTTGGATCTAGTGGGTCTTCAGGGTAGAGGCCAGATGTGAAGAAAACAGAGCTAATCTTTCATGTATAACAAATCTGCCTCTCCTCTTTTACAGAAGCAAATCCAGAGAAATTCAATAGTCGTTTTCGAAATAAAATGTTCTATGCAGGCGTAAGTATATATTTCATTTTATAATCATTAATATTATTTAATGTCAATTCACTGAATACTAAAGAAACTAACCACATCAAAATTAGCAATGGTATACACTTCCATTTATGTTAATATATAGTTATTCTTTATAACCTTCACCAGGGAATGGAAGAGAGAGAATGTTTTTTAAATGAGTGGTCAGCAAAGGGGTTGGTGTTGACCATGACTGAATTTTAAGCTCCTAAGATACTACAAGAGTCAGTGACTTTTAGGGAGCAATATGAAACAGATATCAATGAAGAGACTGGGAAAAATAGATAGACAAAAACGTACAGCGTTTTAGTTTGTTTCCTGTTTCTGAAATAATATATCTGGACAGAAGGCAATTTAAAGGAGAAGGTATTCATTTGATTTACAATTCTAGGTTACATTCTGTTACTGGGGGAGGTCAAGGTGGCAGGAAGTTGAAGCAGCTGGTCACCACACATTCACAATCAAGAACAGAGAGCAAGGAATGAGTGCACACACACGTTTACACTGATTCTCCACCCCTTTACAATCCAGGATCCCCTGCCCACGGAAAGGTGCCACCCACACTGAACCTGTCTTTCCACTAATCAAGACAACCCCTCACAGCCATGAGTGCACAGGTCAACTTAATCTAGACAATCCCTCACTGAAATTCCTCTCCCAGGTGATTGTAGACTGGGTTAAGTTTATAGCTAATACCATCCATCACAGACAATCTTAGCTCAGCATATAGTTTTTAGCAGGGTGTGTAGCCAGTGACCTTGGTTGAGAAATTGACAGAACATGGAGCTTTTTGTGGAAACACCTATGAGACAGCAGGGTGGGGGTGGGGTGGGGTTTCTTTACTCTTCAGGGACATTCCTGGGAATGAGTAGAGATGAAAACAGAAGACACTGAATGTATCAATAATGTGCAGCTTAAATGGATAGCACTGGGTAGGAGTTAAAATGCAAGGGGCAGTATAAAGCATTCTTGGGGGAGGTTAACGGTGATCTTAGCATTGGATTCCCAGTGACTCTGGGTACCACCCACTTTTTCTGTATCCTCCTATAATCTTAAATTTTATTATAGATTATAGCCTGAAAACACAGATTTCCACAGACACTACCCTATTTTACCTTGGGTTAAACCAAAGGAGAATTTGTTATATATATTTTTCATAGTTTGGAATCTCGGGGAACAGTCTATCATATTAAAGCAAGGATTTGGTGGAAACCATGTAACAAAGACTTCTTCTCTCCCTTGTGGTGTAGGCAGCCTTTTCTGATTTCCTACAGAGAAGTTCTAGAGATCTATCCAAACACGTCAAAGTTGTCGTGAGTATTGACTGTATACGTTCATTTAATTTGCATGTGAATATGGATGCCCCCCCATGCCAGCATATTAATCCCTGGGCTGCAAATAGTTTACAAATCGGGTAGGGGAGCTCATTCGACCGTGTATATGTATTCTCACCATGTATCAGTCTCTCTCTGAGTTGCTAGAATGAAATAAAGACTTTTTTTTTTACTCCTGAGGAAATCTTGGAGAAGGACACATAATCACTGCAGATTCATAGGCCCTTATTCACTTGTAATACAGAAGAACACTGGATAATCACAGACATTTGACATGAGGGCACAATATTCAACCCAGTCACACACATACAAACACATTCCGACCAGGAATCTCTGCTTCATTTTTCATTTTGAATTGTAATCCCACTTAGAATAGGATTCAGAAAATCTTCCCGGAAGAAAAGCCGTGAGCTGGCTCTTCCAGTATAAACAATTACTTAGCCAGCAATTGTTCCAGATCTTTCTGAGGAGTCTCCATTTTAGAACAAACAATGATTTTATCCCGACTTTGCTCTCCAGCCTGGTCAAGGTTCCTCACACTGAGTGGATGTTTCCTGCTATTTCTTTTTAAGTCTCTAGCCCAAGTTATGTCTCCATTGGAGGCAAAAGAGAGATTAAATTATCTTTGTCTAGGTGGTGCATTCTGATATATCATAAATCAGTTAAGAAAAACAAACTGTTTCTTGTAATAACAAAGATTTTGAAGAGATGAATATAGTTTTGATTTGCATGGTTGTAAGGATGAAAATGAGGCTGGATGATTTAAAAAAATACATCCGTGGAGAAATATGGCAGGGACTCCATCTATCACCAGGCAGGTAATGAAACAGAACATGTGTGTGTTCCTGCATGTGTATGGGTACACATATATATATGAAAATAAAGAGAATACATGATACTAGGTTATTGAGATTTAGACAGTTGGTAGAGGAGAATGAGACAGTTAACATGAGAAGCAGTTTTTAGCATTTAAGTGGCAGTCCTGTTCATGATATCCACATTTATGTTTATAAAATGAGATATATATGCTTCTAGATGGTTCTTTGTAGTTTGTTGAGACAGTGCCTCTTGTAGCTCATTCTATCCTCCAACTTGCTATTTAGCTAAAATGGCCTTGAACTTCTGATCTGTTTCTCCACTTCCCATGTATTGAGATTACAGGCATGCACTGCCAAGTCCAGCAAACGTTTAAATAACATGCTAGCTCCTTCTGTATTAAATAAAAAAAGAGAAATGATCACTGAAAATAAAACAACTATGGATTGTAATAGGATGATATTTTGTGGGGCACTGATGATGTTTCCAATGTTAATAAACTAGTATATACAGTGCTCATGTAGTAGTGCTCATTCTTATAGGATGCAAGGTTTGTTTTCAGAATGCTAGGCTGGGCACAGTGGCTTCCGTCAGTTGTCCCAACTATTTGGAAGGCTGAGCTGGAAGGGATGTAAATGCAAGGCCAGCAGCCAGCCTGGACAGCTTGGTGAGAACCTGTCTCAAAAGAGGAGGAAAAGGGGGAAAATTGCAGAAATCTGATAGGCAAACATTTGCAAAACTGCTGTTGCTGCTGTATCAGCATTAATATGAGCCCTGCTTTGAAACTCTTACTAATTTTTACTGTAGAGTTTCTAAGTCTTTTCATTGTAACCATGAGTACTCAGAACACTGTATGATTTCAATTGCTTATGATAACAAAGTCCGTCACCTATAGCAAAATATGCATGGAAGACAAACCCCTTAAATCAGCCAAGACAAGGGTTAGGTATAGCTGGTGTTGGCTAACCTTGGCATCCCTTCAGGGCATTTCAGCTCCTGTACAATGCAGTGTTGTTTGTGGCCCTGGGGTGAGGCACAGCTTCATGGTGGAAGAGATCAGAGTGAGGGGAACAGAGATGCTCATGTGGAAGGGATTTGGGGTATGGGGGAACAGAGCTACTCATGTGGAAGGGATTTGGGGTCAGGGGAGCAAAGCTGCTCACTTCATGGTGGCCAAGAAGGGAGGATGGGTAGAAGAAGAAGGAAAGGAAAAGAGAGGAGGGAGAAGAAGGATAGAGAGATGCTGACTGATGAATGACTGGCCAGGACAAGATGCACCCATCAAGGCAAGCCCTGAGTGAACTACTTCTACCAAGTAGGCCCCACCCCCAACATCTCATTCAGTGTGAATGTAGCAACGCAGCAGCATGCTCATGACCCAGTCACACCTCAATGGTGCCACCAGCTTGGGCACAAGGCTCTAACACTTGAGCCTTTTTGAGGGATACTTCACAGCCTAACTGTACCAGATGTATAGAAAACAGACCATATTATCCTTGTCACAGGTGAAGTCAGTGTCTTGGATGGAATATGGAAGTCAGGTGGTTATAATTCTAGACCAAGAAAGCACAAAGTACTTAGAAAACATTACATATAACACTCTTTATTGTCCGTTGTTTGATTTATCAACACATGAGAATAGATATAGAACCATATTTTGCAAGCAGATGTCTTTCCTTCTGTGTGTTTGAATTAGGGAAAACACTGATTACTGATGTTCTAGAGAACTGTACATATTCATGCATAAATATGTAAAAATAGTAAAATATTACACGTTGTATGGTATACAACTTTAAATAATTTGATGAGCTCTCACTGACATATTTCCCAGGAGGAAAGGCTAGAACATTTAAAAATGAGTTTGGGTCCAAGTACAGTAGTATTTACTATAGTATTTTTTTCTGTAATGTATGTAGCAGTTGAGTATAGCACCCTATATTTTGAATGTAAGGCTTTTGTTGTTGTTGTTTACACTCTTGAACTTTGATCATTTAAATAAAATTACTCTACTTTCTTCATGGACATAGTCATCTATAGATCTGCTTGAAGCCCTTAAGTGATTTGGAAGATTTTAGGTTATTGGGGTACTCTAAAACATCTTTGGTCACTATCTAGAACTTTATTTCATTCTAAATTACTTTTGGAAATATTTAATTTAGGGCCATATTATTTCCCAGGAATTGTTTTTGACACCATTTACGAAAATTGGAGTGTATTCAGATCAGGTGGGAGAAGAATGTGGTGCTTCAAAGCAACCTAGACTGCTTGCAAAATCATTATACTTAGACTGAAACTCTGCTCCAAGAATCTTTATCAAATTGTGGTGAGCTTTGGAATGCTTTAGTCCCCCTTCCCAAAGAAAATAAACCAATGGAATTCTGGGATGCGCGGTTGAGTGGGGAGAAAGCCAGCTGAAAAGATGGCTTTCCATGGTGGCACTGTGTCCTTGACTCTGATTAGACCTCTCTTCTGGACCTTGTCCCCTGTGGAGATGGAGAAAGGGGAATGGAGACTTTTTTTTGAGACTGGCTGGAGGACAGAACTCCTGGGGAAAAATACCAGGTGATCAAGGAAGCTGTGGACAAGGCTACTGAGGCCAATAATCAAGGGGCCCTTGAGACCAAGGTCATGTCCAAACTCCAACAGTTTAGTCTCAGAAGCGCCGTCCAGTTCGGTAAGAGATTAGACTTGTGAGCGCAAATCACTTGACACCGTTTTGTCTTCCTGACCCAGTGTTAATATACACAGTCACATCTGTGCAGGAGCTTATGAACTCCTACATCTGGGACACAGGCTTCACCCTGGAGCAAACAGAAGAGGATCTGGGACAGGGGATACCGATTTAGAACAGACTTCTGGAAATCTCTCAGATAATGTATTCACAACGTGTTTCCCCGTTTCAAAATAAACGTTATCTCAGGCAGGAAAGAAAACAAATGGCCACGTTCATGCTGTGTTTGGATCGATTGATTACAGTGGGAATGCTGCTGGCTTCACTGGAGACTTCATCTTTGAAGTGTGTGTAGTCTTTAAATGTTAGCACTGTCTGTCTAAATGTCTAATAATAATAGTTCAAGGCAATGGGTGACAGTGTCTGCTTTGAATATTGGAACAGCAAAAAATTGTTCTGGTCAAATGGAAGTTTTATTTTATATAAAATCAGATCAAAGCCCAAGTGAAGCCCTACTAGTTAGACTCAGCGTAAATTTCAGTCCAAGTAGCAGGCATTCCCTCGGGGGCAAGGGAAAGAATTCCATGCTCTATGCTGTTGTCAACCAGTTTTCTTGGATGAGGCTCTCAGACTCATGACTACTTCAGAAGCCCTGCTTTCTCTGCTTTGGTTGCTGCAGTGTGATGGGACAGATCTCACCCCAAAGATCCAGGACCTGAAGTTCCAGTGTATAGTATTTTTAAATATACCCAGGTAAGCTCTTTTCATACCTTTGCCTTTGTTTGATGGAAACTCTGTTTGACTTGGGGCATCAGATTTCATAAGTGAAACATCCAGCCCATGAAATCCCTAATTTTAATGTCCTGTCAAAGGTCCCGTGTCTGCTGATTTTCTTCTGCTTGACTTGTTCCCTGTGGTAGGAGGTTTTGTCCATGATGTAGAATTCATTATTGATATTCTCCCAGCCTTGAGAGACTCAGGTCCTTTTCTCAAACATTGTCATTTGGTTCTTGTAACTGCCCCACACCCACCCCACAGCCTCCAGGAAGGCAGATGGGAATAGAAGCCTGCTTTCAGTCTCTCCAAAGCTGTTAGGAATGCATCCAGCCAGATGAGTATGGATTTCTCTGCCAGATGCTAGAATCCATTAGAGAGGCATGTTACAGACAGGGTTTAAATGCTCTTTAGAACTATTACGCACCATGAGAAAGGAACACTTAGGACTGACTATTTTTAAAAGAAGCATATTACTGGCGTACAGTTCGATTCTAGGTTCCCAAGCCAAGATGTTGGAAGGCACAGGCCTATCACCCTTCATTATTTGCTACCAACTCAGACAGCAATCTGCAGATATGCTGACCTTTGCTGAATTCAAGGACAATGAGAGATCTATAGAAATTTATGTCTAGGAAAACCTATCAAGGTCTCCAGGTCACTCCTGGCAGTGCTCAGTGCACTCAGTTCCAAGCCTGTTTAGGAGCATGGGTCCACGTGGGTTTAGTAGCAGGCTTACAGATTTGGAGGAAATACTAGCTGGTAATGCCCCCTGTCATAGTTTCCTCTTTATTCCTGACCCTCCCCTCCTATGTGTCTGCTTCTCTGATTTTACAATTTTATTACTTTTTTCCCTTCCTAGTCTTACCTCTCTCATCTCCTCTTCCTCTTTCCCTCCATTTCTTTGGAGAGAGGATCTTCCTAGACAGTTCACAGTCCTTCTCCCTTAGCCTCTTGTGTGCTGTAACAGCAGGCATACACCTCCATGCCTAGCATATTTTATTTCTTATCTTTTATTTACTTATTTAAAGTAATTTTCGTTTATTCTTTTCCTGTGGGAATTTCTTGTCTTAATTTTATATGTAGTGGTAAATGCTACCACCTTAGTCCATGTCCTCTTTCATATTAGCATGAATTTTCTTCATTTAAGACTATTATTAAATTATTAAAGATAACTCACGATGTAGAAAACATGAACCCTAGAGTGCAAAATGTTAGCAAATAATGATGGAAGGGAAAGATGGGTGCAACAGGATGCTTTTGTTGTAAAATTGTGGCTTATTTTTGCAAGGTTATGATATTTTGGAGATAAGTTCATTTTTTCGTAATTGAAGGTATGCATCAAGAACAGCAAACTGTCCTTATATTTAATAAACATCGAGCTTCACAAGAAATAATTTTTAAAAGTTTATTTATAAACTGACCCAGAATCATAAACCCCCTGTGTAGTCATGAGCATACTGTGTGAGACCTTGGTGTATGTGTACTTTAACTCACAGTTAATTCCTAGAGCTAATCAGGAGAAGAATGAGAACTCTTTAACTGATGCTGACCTTGTCTGCAGATATTGTGCTGGCACAATGCCTTGGGGAAACCCCGGAGATCACCATGATTTTGAACCCCAGCGTCACGATGACGGCTACATTGAAGTCATCGGATTCACCATGGCCTCTTTGGTGAGCAATTTCTAAATTTTACTGAAAACCCTTATGTGTAAGCTACAAACATATTGTAACTGCTCACAAATGAAAAATTGGTTTTCTCCAATGACATCTCACAGCGTGTACAGACCACACTCAAGGGCAGGCCTCATGCCCAGCAGTAGATGGCTAACACAAAACCGAATCAATAGTACTTGGAGAGTTTTTGTTTCATAATACTTTGAGCATTTTTTTTTTATTTATTTATTTTTTACCTTACAGGTCTTTTCTTATATATTATGGTTTCTGGTTTTGTGTTTTTATGGGATTTCTCTGTGTGCAAATATGTGTGTCTCTGCATCTGTATTTGTTTCTTGTGTTTTTCTTTGGCTTTTTTTATGTTTGTTTTGTAGCAGGATACAAGATCAACTCAAAAAATCAGTAGCCTTCCTATACACAAATGATAAAAGGGCTAAGAAAGAAGTCAGAGAAACATCACCCTTTACAATAGCCACAGATAATATAAAATACCTTGGGATGATAACATTTTTATCCTTGCACAGGAAACAGAAAGAGGGAATGGGAAGCAGGACAGAGATACAAACTTTCAAGGCCCGCCCCCAGTGACATACTTCCACCAGCAAAGCTGTGTTTTCTAAGGATTCCATAAACCCCTCACACAGTTCCACCAACTGGGGACCAAGTCCTAGAATACATGAATCTCTGGGGGACATTTAAACCACCTCACCTGGCCTCTAGAGTCAGGTATTTCTCTTTGATTCTCCAGCACTGTCCCCTTCCTTGCTTGCTTCCTGGCTCAAGAACTCCGAAGTAAAGCAGAGCTTTGAGCATCCTTTGCCTCTTTTGCAACACTAAGCGGTTGCATGTGTGGACTTTCTTTACAGTGTCCCATGGCTAGTTTTCTTCTGCTTTATCTGCATCAGGATCTTAATATAGTCTTTTCTTCTTCTTCTTCTTCTTTTGGTGGTTTTGTTTATGATTGTATAATTAATATCTGAATAGGAGAGATGCAGCAGATAGAAACTGAGTAGTTAACTGGGAGTTTAATGGTGGGACTCTTTACTCATATTACCCTGGTTTACCCTCAGGTGAAGATGCAATGTCAAATAAGCATCATTTATAACACAGGGTACCAAGAAAGGGGAAGTCTTTTGATACCAACTTGCCAAGTAGGTAGGAAAAGGGCTGTATTATAAAGACAACCCCTTTGTCACAGTCACTATATTGTCCCCAGTGGTCCTCTAGAAGTAGAAGATAGGGGAGCCACAGATATAATCCAGATGTACCAGCTTGATAGGGCAGAAGGAAGAGTAGGGAGAATAGAGGGTTGGGAGAGGCAAATGGTGGGTTTCCACCCCTGCAGTGTACCAGGTCTAACCTGTGTGTGTCAAAGCACTGCGTACCTCCTGCTGTCTAAATACAGCTGACCGAATGAATGGATTCAGTATTCAGGAAAAAGAGGAATTTATAAACACGTGAAAATGTGAGAAACCATAGTCGTCAGTGGGGAAATGGTTTAATGGTGCATAAATATAGATGAGCAGTTAGGGGGCAACAGATAAAGCAGAAGGAAAGGGCCAGAACAGAGGAACAGAGGATGCTCTGGAGAATTGATCTGGATTTTCATTCTATTCAGTGTCTCTGAGGACTTATTCAAATGTTTTGTTTATTTATTTTTAAACTCTGTGTGTGTGTGTGTGTGTGTGTGTGTGTGTGTGTGTGTCAGTGTGTGTGTGTGTTTGTGTGTCTGTGTGTGTATGAGTGTTCACATGTGTGGGTTTACATTTGTACATGATTATGTGGAGTACAGAGGTTGACTTTGGATGTCTTTCTCACTTGCTCTCCACATTGTTTCCTGAGGCAGAGTTTCTTGCTGACTCATGAGTTTCTTGATTTGGCTACTATAGATAACCAGCTCATTCTGAAGAGTCCCCTGTCTCCTGAGCAATGGACCACCAATAGGCTACTGCACCTGCCCTAGCATATAATATGGGTGCTGGGATCTGATCTCTGGCCTTTAGGCCTGCATAGCAAGTTGTTTATCCACTTAGCCATCTACCAGACTCTCAAATGTTCTTTAAATAAATATTTTAATGAGGCTTTTAAGTTTAAAGTAGACAAAATAGGTATTGGAGATATGCCTTGGAGGTTAAGATCATGTGTTGCTCTTATAGAGGACTCAAGATCGGTTCCCAGCATCCATATAAACTCTAGCTCCTGGAGGATCTGATGCTTCTTACCTCTGTAGGCACCTGTTCTCACATGCTCATATCCCTGCATAGACACACAGGCATATACATAATAAAAATAAACTAAAAAGCAGGCAAAATAATAGGACAAAGCCCCAAGTATCATAGCACTCAGCCTTTATATTCGCTACTCATACACAATCTTAAGTCCTTCTCCCTAGTTTTAATTTGAAATGAACTTCATATTATGTTATCTAACCCACAAATATCTCAGAATGTTTTTTAACAATGTACTTTAATAAATGAAAGCCATACTAATATTATGTGAAAATCAGTATATCCAGGTAGGACCAACTATCTGCCTGGTGCTCGGCCTTTCTGATGTCTCAAGCAGTATTTGCCTTCTTATGACCAGTTGACAAGTTTACCAGGTCTCTATAGTTCCATCTTAACTCTTATTATAGCTCATTTATTTATTGATCAAACCAGGTCAGTGTTTTGTGACATTTTTGAGTTTGAATTTCCTGAAGCATCACTGAAAATGTCCTTTTGTCCTCTCTGGTTCCTCTCTCCCACATGCATGTCCTTACAAAATGGCATTGATAAGTATACCTAGTCCAAATGTCCAAAGTCTGAATGTTTTTCATTGACTGAATTTAGACATTTCAGAGTCTAAATGTAGTTCATTTCAAATAAAACCTTTGATTTCAGACCATTTCGGATTTTCATACAGGACTGCTCAACTGCTGAAGTCTATATAATATTCTAAAATCCAAAAATAAGAAAAAAGCAATACCTCTGAAACTCAAAACATTTCTGACCTAAACATTATGGATCAGGAAAATTCAGCCTGGAGTTGGGTCTATGAACTCAACAAATCGTAGGTATTTACTCCAAATCTGCTTTGTAGGCCATAATTTTCTTCCAGAAAAAAAGTAGATAGTATATGGCTCAGTCTTTTTTTTTTTTTTTTTTTTGTAATGTTAGTGGATACTGGATCCAGTAATAATTGAGCCTTGCAAAATAGCAGCATACTAGTTCTGAGCTGTATCTATCAACTGGAATATTTCAAGAGAGGGAAATTCCTCCCCACCTTCTCTTTGGTCGCTTACTCACACAGTTAGGCAGGACAGCCCATTCCTATTTTCATTATTTCTTTTCACCATAACAAGTTGGCCCATTGGCATCCTCAGGCAGAGAATAGATTTAAAATGGACTTTTAGAAACCTACCCCATCATGCGTCTGGGGCTGTGGTCTTCTCCTGGAGTCTGGTTGGGCCTGTGAATTTGCTGATGCATCAAGGAGAGTGGGAGGCTAGAGAGATGGCTCAGACGTTCAGATCCCCAGCTATGTAAAATGTTCGGTGAGCTGACGTGTGCCTGCAATTCTAGGGCAAAGGAAGCAAGAGCAGGAGTGGTAAGCCTTGCTGGCCAGCCAGTTGGACCAAATGGGTGAGCTCTAGGTTCAATGTAAGCCTCTGTTTCAGAAAATAGAGAGGAAGATATCCAGTAGAACCTATGCCTGGCTTCCATGTACATTCATGCACCCATACATGTATTCTCTCTCTCTCTCTCTCTCTCTCTCTCTCTCTCTCTCTCTCTCTCTCTCTCTCTCTCTCTCTCTCACACACACACACACACACACACACAAATGTGATATTGTGCAAGTTCTGGGGTTGAACCTTAAAAGGCCATGAAGCAATTAAGAAGTGGACAACAATGGCCACCTCTAATTGATCGTAATTTTATAAATTCAGAGGAATAATTAAAAAGCCTCTGTTTCCATCTAGCGTCAGTTATAAATATTAGTGAATTCACAAGGGCCACACACATAACTAACATGCTACTAGGTAAAACTGGCTAAGGAGTGAGGCAAAAGAAAAGCCCTGTCTTCGGGGTGCTCACAGCTCCATCCATGATGGAGGGAAGACCAAGAGTAAAAGAACAACTTCCAGGGAAGAGTTGGGAAAACTAGAGAGGAGTACTGGAAGCAGCAATGCCTGCTCGGTGTACTCTCAGCAAAGATTCCTAGGGGAGGCACACTCTCTCGAATGTGGTGACCTATCAGGGCAACCAGCCTGAGAGCACGTACGTGTACATGGAGAGCTACAAGTGGTGGCAGGGGGAGAAGCAGGGAAGAAACAGCCCTTTAGGCTGTTGATGGGGGTGCTGTGGCAAAAGGGTTGGGCATGGTCAGACTTGTGCCTGGAAGCTGATGTGAAGTGGATCCAGAATCTCTACTGCTGAGGCTCAATAGACCAGTCATCACATTGGCGTCAGTGTCCACGTGAAAAGATGCCTATACCGGAAGTGTGAAGGAGGAAGGTGCCACAAAGATGAAAGGGACTGTTGAGTCCCAGAGTTATTTGGATGTAGTGACCCACTATGAAAGGGAGAAGAACATCAATGAATCCTAGGAGGTGACTTGGGGCAATTAGTCAAAGGATAAATACTTTAAACAAGGCAGAAACTGTAAAACAGCATTGCAAAGGAACAGAGCTCTGAAATCCCCATAAGAAGGCAGCATATACTTAAAAAATGATAACTGAAAATGCATGGCGGGAGGTCAGGGAATCTCTCTAGGTTAGATGGTGTTGGTGGGTCTATCAAACCGCCTTCTCTCACATCCTGTTGCTAGTGGGGATGGGAAGGGGAGAAAATTAATATATGAGATTTGGTGAAGAGGAAATGGAATCCTAAGTCAGGCCGACTATTGTGCCCTCTTTGCGCAGTGTGAGCGGGACAGTGTTGCACGGGGCAGTGTCAAGTGTGTGATAGAACCTCCAATCCTAGCGACTGTAGTTGCCGTCGAGGCCAAAAATCCTA